TCGTCTTTACAAGGGTAAGTGACCTTTCAGGCGCTTCAAGGATAAGTGCCAGATCTTTACATGACAGACAAGTCCCGTCCAGCTCTGGCCTCAGCCTCTCTCCACAAGCACACTTGTCTCCTTTCCTCATGCACTCTCTGCTCTGACCCTGCACTGCTGGCTGTTGTGTAGACATCCTGTGCTGTCTCTTCTCTCCCTGCCTTTGCATCTGCTCTTCTCATTACCTCAAATGGCCTCTTCTGTCCTGACCCCTCCCTGCCTGGAAAACATCTCAGCTTAAATCTTGGCTTCCAGGAGTTCATTGGTCCCCAGAGCACCTCTTCACACTTCACTTAGGGAGCTTGTTCTTTACTGGGATTATTTGTATGCCTCCCTCCCTTTCCATCTCCTCCAAAAATTCACTTTTCATCGTTGTATATATTGTGCTCAGCAGTCTCTGGCCCACAAGTACTAAATGTTTGTTGAATCAGTGAGTGAATGGGCTATTTTATGAGAGTTCTGTCTTAACTGGTCTCCTTTCCGTCACTCTCTTTTTCTGTATGTCTTCCAAATGTACCAGTTGGTTTTCAGAACTGAGCTGATCATGGCGTTTCCTACCCGAACATATCCTCATGCCTCCAGAAAGACATTGAGGCTCCCTAGCACTCAGCCCTTCACGGCTGACGCTAGCTGTCTTCATCTCACCCCTGAGTCTGCCTGCTTCCTCATACTGTTATTTCCCATTGTGATAGCCTCCATCTCCCCTGCCCTGCAAAACAGTGAGCACACCCACACCCCAAGTTGTTCCCAGCACGTGTGCCAGACCCTACCTGTGCATTTGCAGACTGCTTTCCCTCCCACTTCCTTTGCCCGGTGTCAGACCCTCAGCTCCCTGTCCTGACTAGGATCTTATCTCTAGCTCTTTGGACTTGGGGTTTCAGCTTATTCTCCCTGGCACTGGTACGTTGCTTCGCAGCTCTTAAAGGCCCCTGGCAGAGATGGTTCATTGTCCCTCAACATCTTTTCTACCCTCTTCTACAATAACGGGCCTCTCAGAGTTCAGCTGGGCTCTTGACCACCCAAATAAAGACTGCGTTCTCCAGCCTCCGTAGCAGGTGACCATGGACACCTACCTAAGTTCTGGTGATTGGGATGTGAGTGGAAGCAGAAGTTGAAGCCTAAGCCACTGCTTTCTGAAGTCTCTGCTCTAGGGAATTCCCTGGTGGTCCAGTGGTTAGGGCTCCACGCTTTCACTGCTGAGGGCCCGGGTTCGATCCCTGGTCGGGGAACTTAGATCCCTCAGCTGTGCGGCGTGACCAAAAATAATAATAAATTAAAAAATAAAGGCTCTGCTCTAGCACATGTATCTGTATCATAGTTAACAGCGCTTTGATTTGGACTCATTCATCTAGACCTCTTGCTCTGCATCCCTTGGAACAGCCTGCCCAGTTTAGGTCCCCTGAGAATCCATTTCCAGAAGAAGCAACTAGCATCACAGCAAGTGTTCTCTTCACTCGAAGCCTACCCTTCGAGGAGAGAGCTTAGATTCTTTTCTCTGCCTTTCCCACCTCCTCCCCCTCCCCTTAGTAAAACTTTCTCCTCACTTCAATAGCCCCCTCTTCTGGGCACATTTTCCCCGTGGCTCTTGCCTATGCTTTGCGTTTCTGCCAGAGAAACAGAAACTGTTACCATCTTCGTCGTCACAACCCTGGGCTCTAACACAGCGCCCGGCACAGAGGTGCTTAGTATCTCTTTCACAAAGTTGTGAGGATGTGTGAGCACTAAATACTTGTGCTGTGTTGGAACGGTGCCTAGAGCTTAGTGTGTGCTCCAGTAGTTACTGTAGCTGCTGCTGTTCAGTGTCAGTTGGGTCAAGTTTTCATCTTCTTTGTGTTCCCCACGGAGCCCAGCATAGTGCTGTGGAACTCACAGCTGTGACCCTGTTTGGATACGCGTTATCCTGCTATCTTTCCAACATTTTTTGATTCCTTATAGAGAAAGCTACTGCTTATGTTATTGCCTACTGACCTACCTGAGTGTAATAAAAATTATACACAACCCACTTTATAGGTCAGACTTAAAAGAATCTTGCAGATTTTGGTTGCATCTTTTATCATTTCTGTTTGTAATTTGAAGTACCATCACCTAGAATTATGACGTTTGCTGATGTGCTGTAATTCCTCACCACTTACCTGAATATTTGGGCTGTGTTCTAACTGGTGATGATTATGTTGATTATAACAAAAACAGCAGCTAATAAATATTGAGAACGTTTTGCGTGCCAAGAATGTAAAAGCTTTTTACCCATCTTTTCATTTAAGTCATGTAACAGCCCTATGAAATACAGATATTTGAGACACAGATATGGAAACTGAGCAGGAAAAGGTTAAATGATTTACCAAAATTCGTAGATAAAACCATTATTGGCAGGCGTAGACCTCCCCCACCCCCCGGTCTGTTTTGGCTCTTACCTGCTTTTGCTGCAAGTACTAACTTGTGTAATAAATGTATTATTTTTATCTCTTATCATCTGGGAATTCATAAAGTTTAATGCTCAGATTGCATTCTACTTAAATCTTTCATTAGAGTTAATGTTATTAAATATTTTATACATTTATTGATTTTGTACAAATTAGTAATAACAATTGGGCAAAAAATTTATGTATTTGACTTAGTTTTCAGTTCATTTCTTGGCTTAGTGATTTTTTTTAAACCTGAGCCCCAGACCAGTGAAAGCTAGACTTTGATTACAATTGTTAGAGAAGATCCCTCCGACCTGAGCAGTGAGAAACCAACGTCCAAGTCAGTCCCTTTGCAGAAGACAGACTTTCTTGATTCAAAGGTCCTCTGGCTCGGCGGCTCCATTGTGCAGGTACCAAGGCCTAGTTTCCCATCCCCTCAGCATCCAAAAGATTGCCTGTATTGGCTTTGTCCTCAAACCAGCACTGGCTTCCTGTTCAAATTTCACTTAACTGGTGGTCTCAGCTTACTCTTTGTTTTTCTTTCTGACGCTTAGGGATTTCCTGTATTTCCTTGTGAACTCATGATTTAAAATATATTTTGGGGCCAATATGAAGCAACTGGAACTCAAGTATACTCCTGGTGGGAGTAGAAATTGGTATAGCCACTTTTGAAAGCTCTTTGCAGTCTATACTTATACAGAACATGTGCATACCCCATGACCCAGAAGACCAAGTCTGTACATACACCCAACAAAAATATGTACATGTGTCCGCCAAAGGACACGTACCAGAATGTCTATAGTAGAACCCAAATGTCCACCAACAAGAAAATAGATGAGTAAATTGTGGTATATCCATATGATAGAATACCACCCAGTAATTTTTAAAAAGAATGAATTGAATTATAACTGTTCCTAACACATGGATGAATTTTACAGACATTATGTTGAATGAAAAGAAGCCAAAGCGATAAAGAGGCATGGACATATATACACTACCAAACGTGAGGTAATTAGCTAGTGGGAAGCAGCCGCATAGCACAGGGAGATCAGCTCGGTGCTTTGTGACCGCCTGGAGGGGTGGGATAGGGAGGGTGGGAGGGAGGGAGACGCAAGCGGGAAGAGATATGGGAATATATGTATATATATAACTGATTCATTTTGTTGTGAAGCTGAAACTAACATACCATTGTAAAGCAATTATACTCCAATAAAGATGTTAAAAAAAAAAAGAAGCCAAATATAAAAGTGTATCTGTAATATGGTTCCATTTATATAAAATTCATAAATAGGCTAAGCCAATCTCTGATCTTAGAAATCACAGTAGCAGCTACCTTTGGGGGAGAAGGGGAGGGGCTAGTGATTGAAATGGAACATTAAGGAGGCTTCCAGAGTGCTCATTACGCAAGTATGTTCACTTTGTGATAATTCTTCAAGCTGCACACTTACTTGTGTACTTTTCTATGTGGATATTATACATCAGTAAGAAAGACATATGTTTTACAAAACAGAAAAAAAGTGTTTTACAGCACAATTAGAGAAAGCTGTTCAGACTGCGTAGTTTACTGTGTTGTCAGAAGTGGAAGTCAGCCCAGAGCCTGTGTGTGTGTGTGTGTGTGTGTGTGTGTGTGTGTGTGTGTGTGTGTAGGGGAGCGAAGAGAAGGACAGTGCTTGTTTTGGTTGTTAGTTCCCTTTCATGGTTTCTGGTTTATTCAGTTTTGTGCTTACTGTGGTGGGAAATCAACAGACAAATCATGAAGTGGTAGAAGTTGAAATAGCAGAGTTCCTTGATAAATATCCTGATGTAATATCCTGCCATGCAGTTCCTTATTTGAAAATGTTTGCATATAAATTGCCTACCACTTTGAATTGAAAAATTTTGGAAAACTACGACCCTTCAGTTCATAGGTTAGTGATATTTTTTAAATGGAGATTTCCTGGAGCAACACAAGAAAAAACTGAAAAAGAGAGGGCACCTAACTTCAATATCTATTGAGAACGTTTTTCTAAAACTTCAGTCAACATGGTGTTCACACCTATTTCTCAAATAAATAAAGTAAGACAGTGTAAGATCTCAAATGTATATGTGCTTACAAGGACTCTGGGACGGACTTGTTACAATTGGAGCCCAGCACTTGCATGACCAGGAAAGCAGTGCCTGATCTAGAAGATAGCAAGGTGCGTCTGGTTGTAGCAGAAGTCTTTTTGCTTTATATTTCCAAATTACAGTAAAAGGATACCGTCTGCTGAAGTCTTTTTTCCTTAATTTCACTCTGCAAACTGAGTGATTAGTAAGCTAATTTTTTTCTCCTGAAACCTAAGAGGCTGTTCTGTGGAGCCGTGTTTCGATCCTGTGAATCACATGTAAATGAAGCACTGTTTGCTTTTCATTTGGAGACAGTGTTTAGATTAATCTGTGTATTTGGGTTGCTGGGAAAGAAAGAAGCTTTCTGGCTGAGAATTCCTGATTTGCTTGCCACAGGCAACTGAATTTTCCCTTGGAGTTTTTGCTTGAGTTTACTCACTTGGACGTGAGGTAATGGAGTTCGTTTCTTTACAGAACTGCCTACAAGTCTTGTGTAGGCATGGAGGGCTGGAGCCAGAAAAAAGAGATAAGTGTAATCGGACTGCACATGATGTCGCCACTGACGACTGCAAGCACCTGCTGGAGAATCTGAGTGAGTGCCCTTTGCAGCTGCATTGCTCATGCTGCATCCACACTGCTGGGGCCTCTGGGACTGTGGGAAAGATATTAATGCAACTACAGTTTTCTCACTCTCTTCTTAACCTTCTTTGAACCCTAGCTGCTACAAAAACACTTAATTGGTTATAAATGGGGTAATTATATTTTTCCACATACAGTGGCTTTTTACAGAATTAGTTGTTACTGAAATAACGCTAGGTCTTCCTTGTATTTGACTGACCTTGGACAGCTTTTAAATAATTATTGCTCTTTTCTTCTGACTTAGATTATCTTTCTAGGCATGAGACTAGGAAGCTATGAGAAATCATGGCCGTCTAGTGTGCTATTAGCTGATCATATGAATGTAGGCAGGCAGGTCAGTTATCTCTCAATGTCTGGTTGCCTACCTGTCTAGGAAGATAATTGATGATCTTTTGGGTCCCTTCCATCTTTAAGAGTATACACTTCTGAACATTTATGAAAAGTTCACTTGTGGGTTTATGAATATGGAGTGCTAGATCAGATGAAATATTGTGACCTCTTATATCAGGATTATCACTCAGTCCATCCAGTCAGCCAGCTGTATCAGTAGTTGGATTTGAGCTTACATTCTAACATTGAGTCAGAAAGTGAACAATAAACATAAGCAATAATTCATTGTATGGTATATGAGATGGTAATACGTGCTACGGAAAAGACTAAGAGGGATGGAGAGTGAGAGGGTGGGTTTCAGTTTTTAAAACGATAGACAGGGTAGCCTCACTGATAAGACATCTGAGCAAACACTTGGAGGCGAGGAAGGGGCAGCTCTGTAGATCTCTCAGGTAAGAACTTTCCAGGCAGAGCATCAAGTGGACAGAGGCCCTAACAGGTAGGAGCATATCTGTTGTGTCTGAGGAACCGCAAGCAGGGCAGAGTGACTGTGTTATAACGAGTGAGGGGAGAAAAGTAGGAAAACAGGTCAGAGAAGTTGCAGGAGGGGATGGGGATTGAGCCTGATCTAACTGGAATTTGTAGGCCATTGTTGGGACTTAAGGTAACCATTTCAGTGTTTGAGCTTACGAGTGACGGGACCTGGTGTACGTTTTTTTTTTAAGAATTTTTGTCATTTTTTAATTCAGGAACATTGTAAGTATTCCTACCCTGTTAAAAAAAAAAAAAGACATTTGTTAGCTATCATTTTATTTTATTTATTTTTTTTAGCTATCTCATTTTAAATTTTGCTTTTATCAACTTAGTAAACATAAGTGAGCTTCTAAATAACACAACATTGTAAGTCAACTATACGCCAATAAAAAGTTTTTTAAAATAACTATTAAGAAAAGATAACATCAAAGAAATCTCGTACTAATTGTAAAAGGCCAACCCTGGCAATGTTCCTAATTAAGAATGGTGTACGTTTTAATGGTATCTCTGGCTGCTTTGTCAAAAAAAAACAAACAAACTAGGAAGTCACAGGCCTAATGTTAGGCCATTAATGTAGTGTTCCAGGTGAGAGCCAGTAATGACAGCTCAGTTCAGGATTGTAGTAAATGAGGACGTTTCAGTTCTGGATGTAGCCAAAGATGAGCCAACACAACTTTCTGATGGGTTGGGTGTGAGGTATGAGAGAGGGGATTCATGGATAATTCCAGGGTTTTCAGTCTGAACAACTGGCAGGATGGCAACAACTGGCAGGATGGCATTGCCATCAGCTGTCTAGGGGAAGGCTGTGGGTGAAGCAGATTTTGCTAACGAAGGTTAGGAGTTATGTTCTGAATTATGAATTTGAGATGTCTGCGCATCTATGTAGGAGATGTCAAGTCAGCAAGAATTCTGGAGTGAGTATGAGCTGGATTTATAAATCTGAGAGTCAGCTGTCTAGAGATGGTCCTTAAAGTCATGGGACTGTATGAGGTCTCGAAGGCAGTGAACACAGCTAGAAAAACTAAGAGAAACAAGCCTTGCAAGACTCTCATTAAGAAATCTAGAAGAAGGGGAGGGACCAGCAAAGGAACAACATTAGAGGGTGACCAATGAGGTGTGAGGAAATCCAGGAGGAGTGTATCAGAGAGCAGAGAGATGAGCTGTGTCACAAGCTGCTAAGTAACATGAAGACCAAAAATAAAATCTAGTCGGTGGTCAGTTAATGGAAAAAAGTCAGTTTAAGAAGAGGATCATAAAAATATTTTTAAACATTTCATTTTCATTTAAAACACACCAGGTAATTCTTTCATCAACGTTTGGGTGAAGCTCTTTATATTGGATGGTTCTGCTGATTGAAGTGCCGCGTGTTCTTATTTGAACAAACCACATCTTTAATGCTTTGTCTGTGGTTTCTGTTGTTTGAGGACGTAAACGTATTTATGAAGCAAACTAAAGGCAGTATCTGTCTAGAGATAATTAATTTTTTTCTAATTTTATGTAGTTGTCTCATCCATATCTCACTAAAAACTTGGTTATAGCAGCTCCTCTGTTCAGTCTCAAAAGTGTTCTGATTTTCATAGGAATAGTAACTCATTTCATCAGTATCTGGAATATTTAATTTACTAATTACAGTAATGAGTTCAACAGACATAGAAGATTTGGGATTAAACACAAGTGGCTCTTGGTAAGCATATAATTCAGTTCATGAAAACAAGTACATGGGGAGCTATCCACCTGGGAGGGGGCCCCAGTCCGCTGGTGTCACAGAGAGATTGGAAAGATCATTTTAAAAGCTTCTACTGCACTGTTCACCAGTTATCAAGTACTTACTAGTTCTTGTGAGATAGTGTGTTAACAGATAATGTGTTAAACAAATAGTGTGTTTAATCCCTTGCAAACATGAGTTCATTTATTCTTCATAGCATCTCAATTGTACGTTCCTTCCATTTTATGGAAGAAATTGGGGCATAGAGATATCAAGGCCATTTACCAAGTACACATGGCTAAGTAGAAAGCTGACCCTGAGGCCCAGCCCGAGGTCTGTATGAGTCTGAAACCACTGTCCTAAGCACACTGACCTACGCAGCTGTAACCTGCCTTCTTCATGATGTTATCAATGAAGGTGAGGAGAAAAGTTGATATAGAGAGGTCAAGAGAGGGCTCTAGTTTTCTCAGATGCTTTTTGAAAGAATTTGAGAACCTTGCTGAAGGGAAAGAATCAAGGAAGTAGAACTGGCCAAAGAGACAAGGAAAGATAAACAGTTCAAGCAACATGGTTCCAAAGAAACTGTGAAGAGATTGGGAGACCAGAATTTACTCCAGTAGACGAATATTCAACTGATGATATTTAAAAAAGGATAGCTGCCCTTTGCTTTGTTTTTAAAATGTTTGTATCTGTTTGTTTTATGTAAGATTTTTGCTGGTTTTTATCCTGTCAGGATTTTTTTCCCCTAATTCTTTCATTCTTCCAACAGATGCTCTTAAAATACCCTTAAGGATTTCAGTGGGTGAGATTCAACCAGGCAACTACGGTGCCGACGATTTTGAATGTGAAAACACAATATGTGCTTTAAATATTCGCAAACAGACATCATGGGATGATTTTTCAAAAGCAGTGAGTCAAGCTCTGACAAATCATTTCCAAGCAATCTCTTCTGATGGATGGTGGAGTCTGGAAGACGTGACGTTTAATAGCACCACTGACTCTAGCATTGGCCTCGGTGCAAGCAGCGTGCGATCCATCACGCTAGGTATCAGCAGTCCAGCAATGAAGGGAAAGTTAAATTTCTGGGTTTATTTACATTCATGGGCTCCCTAACCTGATACGCAGCTCACTGATTAAATACATTCAAAGCTCACTTGTGGCAGCTGCTGGTGCTGAAAAACTTGAGTATTCATAATGCAACCATTACATAATGTTGCCTGTTGGTATAAAAATGCTTTTATGCCTCAAATAATATCCAGAGAGTAAAGAACATGAAAGCCCTTGATGAGGCTTTGTGATTGCACTCGCTATTTTGATAAATGCAAGAAACTAACCACATTGCAGCTGCTTTGCTAATACACAAGCTCTGAACACAGCTCCAAGCTTGTACTTGGGCTGTGCCAGAGATGCAGTAGTGTATGAACACCTTACCTTTGGATGGGGGTTCTAATAAAGTCTAGAGTTAGAAGAGGCACTTTAATGAAGATAGAGTCAAAGCTCCCACTTGGGATGAGTCAGGGTGATACCTGGTTGTTTCTGTTTGATAGGACTCCAAAGAACTTCAAAAGATAAGATTTGCTTTCTGGTAAACATAGTAAGTGTACTACAAATGTTAGTTGTCCCTGGTTAGTTTCTTTCCTGTCGAGCTAAGACATCTATGGGGAACCTCCTGTGATGGCAGGACTGTGCTGGGAGCTTTATTTATATACAGACCTTAGTGAGTCCTTACCGCAGGCTCATTTACAGATAACTGGTTACAAGTTAACTTGCCTGCGGTCACACAGTCAGGACTCAGATTCCAGCCTGTCTTATAGGAAAGCTTGTGTATTTTCCATAGCACCAGGTTGCAAAAGAATAGTCAAGATTGAGGGAAGGGCAATTTTCACCATGCGATTAATGTATCAGCTTATTATATTAGAAAGTATTTTATTTTGTTCACACATATATGCTAAATCACTTTCAAAACATATATTACCAATAGGTTTTAAAGCAAATTATTCACAACTTAATTTTATGGATCATTGTTATTATCATAAAATAATTATTACAGAAGAATTATTATATAATTTTAGAAGTGCATTAAAAACATGTCATAAATGATTCTCAGGAACACATTTGCCCAGAAAGTGCAGTATTATTTAAGGTGTGGTTCTGCCCAGGGGTCAAATAAACAAAGTCCTCACGGCTATGTTTTGAATGAAATGGCCCTCCACCCTCAGCCCTCATCCAGCTGATCTGGAAACTGGGGAAGGCAAATGGGTATTCACCAGCATCAGATCCAGGTACTTCTGTGAGCAGTGGGTGCTAAGGCCTGACCGTTCCGGTGTTCATTCTTGTCCCAGAGGTGCGGGGCACCCAAGAAGCATTTCAGATCTAAAAATCATTGAGTTTTGTGGGTAAAGGCTTTCGTTTAGTACCTGGCTGTGGCCACTTGATAACTGGTAGTTACAGGCATACCTCAGGGATATCGCAGGTTCAGTTCCAGACCACCGCAATAAACAGAATACCCCAGTAAAGCGAGTCACATGTATTGGTTTCTCAGTGCATATAAACGTTATTTATAATGTATTGCAGTCTATTAAGTGTACAATAGCATTGTCTAAAAAACTATGTACATACCTGAATTTAAAAACTTTTTTTGCTAAAAAACGCTAACTATCATCTGAGCCTTCGGCAAGTCATAATCTTTTTGCAATAGTAACATCAGAGATCACTGATCACAGATCACTATAACAAATATAATAATAACGAAAACATTTGAAATATTGTGAGAATTACCAACATGTTACACAGGCACAAAGTGAGAAAATGCTGTTGGAAAAATGGCGCTGATAGACTTGTTCCATGCAGGGTCGAGAGCTTTCAGTTTTTAAAATAACACAAGCTCTGCAGTGGGCAATAAAGCAAAGCACAATAAAAGGCATGCCTGCACACCACTGTTATTACGTATGTATATAAGTAACTTTATTGATAACCTCAACTGGATTAAAGGGACCAAGGGCAACAGAGAAGCAGTGAGTTACAGGTAGGGTGTGCACGTGTGTTGGAGGTGTGCTGAGAATAGGTATTTGAGAATTGATCTGTGGAAGGAAGAGATGGAAACAAGTACTGAGGACTAATGCCTCCCCAGAGTGGACACTTACGAATTGGGACCCTTTTTTGAGCAAGAGTGAGCAGGGGGCCCAGACCGTGAAAAGGTTTGCTTTATTCTGAGCCCCTGAAGTTAACCGTTTTTACTAGAATCCAAAAATTTGTTGGAAAGTGGGGCAAGGACCAGATCGTAAAGGACCTGTTATCTCATCCAAAGTGCTCGGGCTTTGTGAAACAGGCACTGGAAGAACCATGAGAGGTTATGATCTGCTTTGTCCTTGAAAACTTCACCCTGGACATGTTTCGTTGTATTTCCACCAGGTTTCTTTCAATCCCTTGTAAGAACAGCTTTGGAGAAGGCTGTAGCTTGAAGGCCTCCTCTTGACCATCCACAAAAATTGTACGAGGGAGTTAACCCTTTGTGTGACCCTTTCCATAGTCTGTCTGTGTCTCTGACAGTCTAAGCTCTGGAGTCCTTTGGGGTCTCACACAGGAGATCGTTCATTGACTCTTATAAGAAGAATTACTTTTAAGCTTCTCTTGATATTTCATTTTATTTTTTTTTGAACTAGGAAATGTGCCGTGGTCAGCAGGTCAGAGCTTCACCCAGTCCCCGTGGGACTTTATGAGAACGAATAAAGCAGAGCAGGTCACTGCGCTTTTGTCAGGTAAGGGTATTCCAGACTGAGGCGATGTTGGGAGACTTTGCATCGTGAGTGTTTCACAGCACAGTCTCTGAATCTGCATGGTTTTGTCCTGTGTCCTCAGGCCACACATGTGTGACTCCCACTACTAAGTAATTAGATGTTTTTTGAAATGTTTAAGAAGAGGAAAATCAAAAGCCATGTTTCTGATACCTGTGGTGACGTCTGTCCTGATCATTGATTGCTGAGATTCTGATTGCATTTCTCTTTAGGAACAAATTGATGTGCTTATAAGAGAGTGACAGATACCATGTTAAGAGCAGTGTCTTTTATTGCTGTCAAGTCCATGTGATTATTAGGGTACAGGCTAATTTCAGTGAGCATCTACTCTGTGCTAGGCTCTGTTGTTTACGGCACAATACAAGTATAAATTCCTGTAATCCTTACAGCAGCCCAATTAAGATACGTATTTATGTTTATCCTCATTTCATGTACAAGGAAATTGAGGCTCAGAGAGATTGATTTTCTTGTCTGAGTACATAAAGCTAGTACGTAGTATAGAAATTCTCAGTTTCTCAGCCCTTAACTCTAAAAGGCTACTGATTTCATCATGCATTTCCCAGACTTGGGAATGGAGCTTTTAAAAATTCAGTTTGAACTAATAAAGTTCTATTTTATTGCTTGAATGATACTTAAGTTTAAAAAAAGTGTGAGACCATTCCAGAAAATTCCTTCAGGCTGAAACACCATATTGAGAGAGTGGCTGAACACGGAAGGGGGTCGGGGGCAGGGGACAGAGTTTGGGAATGCACCCGTACATTAACGCTGGCAAGGCTAGAACTTTCTGAGGATTGAGATTATCTCTGATGACATTTGCTTATAAACAGTAAAATATTGAATCCAGCAATCAGAGCAAATACAAGCTATAGTTTTGGAGCCCGGATCTGAATGCCCTGGTAGTGATTGACAGGAGATGGGTGGGCTCCCGGGGGAAGGTAGGGGCAGCTGGGGAGCTCTTGGGAGGCCAGCAGCAGGGGCTGTCAGTCAATACAAAGTGTTACAGTATTTTCACGATGGTAAAGGCACACTGGTGCCTCTTGGCTAAATGTCAGCTCTGCCTACATAAGTCAATAAACATGTTGTATCTTTTATGATAGGCTCTTTTATGTTTTGATCGTTTATACAGTTCACAAGAAGAGCCCATTTTTCCTTCCGTTTGCTTCTTTCTCACAGGGCCGCAGGAAGGCTGCCTCAGTAGCGTGACCTATGCCTCTATGATCCCTCTGCAGATGCTACAGAACTACCTCAGGCTGGTAGGTGGACCTGCCAAGTAGGGTCTTACACCGCCAGCCCTGACACGCACTCTGGGCTCTGACCTCATGACTTTCCTGAACAGCCCCCTCCCTGGACAACTGCTGGTACCTTCCTTCTCAATTTCTGTCACAGTCATCCAGGTGTTCATTGCCAGGACCCAGACAGTACCTGTGACCTGCCAAGTGTTTTAATTTGGGCAGGAGGAGGGTGTCTTCCCCTAACAAGGACTTGACATCAAGTAATTGATCATCAATATGGAAGAGAATGACTATAGATTTCAAGATGCCTGGCTGTGAACTTTTATAATTTAAAATTGAGGAAATATGCTATCATTAGTTAGTGTATTAATTTGGCCACTTCAGCAGAAACAATTATAGCATAAACAGTATAGAAGTTTATTTTTCTCAAACACAGCAAGTCCCAGCAGATGAGGGACCCAGGGAGGAGGAAGGCTCAGGGTGAGCCCTGCGGGTCTTACCACCTTCCCTCTCCAGGGCTGCTACCCCTGGGCGTCATGTGTGTGGTTTTGGTCAGACAGTCACCACTCCTGCTCTCAGGTTCCAGCCTGAGGGAGGAGAGCCAGGAGGGCAAGTTCCTTCCTTTCAGAGGAGCCATACACACCTTTACTGCCCACATCCCATTGACCAGAATTTAGACACTTGTCCACACCTAGTGGGAGTGTGGTCTTGCTGGGCAGCCATGCACCAAGCTAAAAGACGTTGTTCTGTTATTAAAAGGAAGGAGGAGAATATGATTATCAGGAGAGAGTAGTAAATTCTAGATACAAAATGGATAAATTCAATGCTTTGCATTTGTCCAGTACTTATTACATGGCAGGCAATATGAGGTAGAAAACACCATCCATTTTATAGATGAGGAACTTGAAACAGAGAGGTAAGATAACGTGCTCAAGGCCACAGAGCCAGTGAGAGATAAAGCCAGGATTGTGCAAGTCCCTGACACACATGTGTGTCTCTGTGTGTGAGACACATCTAAAACTAATATTGAAGGTATAAAACATTAAGTAAACAATCATTTTGCCTTAATTTGGAAAGCTTTTTAAAAAATGAATGGGTTTGACCTTTTACAAACGTCGTTTCTATTAACTGTGAATTGATGTCTTTGTTCCTGACATAAAGAAGTTTTCAAAATTATTCGGTTGATCTCGGGAGGCTCACCGTTGGGACTGACCTTTGTAAAAGCAGCCGCAGCAGCATATAAACATTCAGAGGCTTTGCAGTTTAGGAAAGATGGTGTCTTCTAAATCGGATACATTCACTCTTTTTTTTGCTTTTGCAATTTGCTTCCTTCTTCTTGAAGCCTCACAGTAAGCCTGAGCGTTACATAGAAATGGGAAGGAGAGCTGTCTTATTCCTTTGCTTCAGTGAAGGTTGAAGTTGTGTGACCAACTGGTTTTCAGGCATGTGAGCCTAGGCTTTCAGTAGAATCAGCTGGTAGAATCAGGGCTTTTCACTTACCTGTTTAGATGATAAAATGACTAGAAAGGTGATGCAGCTGATTACAACCGCACCTTAGCCTTGACTGAGTAGGTCTGCCAAATGAAATGTCTGCTGGTCACGCTATATACGGCACATTCCAAGTACATTTGTGAGTGTGCGCCTCGTAAGGCAGAAAACAGTTTCGCTCCCGATGACCAGCAAACCAGAGGCTAAATTAACTCAGCTGTGAGTTCTATTGTCAATTTAATGAGTATACACAAAGGGCTTTTTTAAATCCAACAATTAACCCTTGGAAGCAGATAATGAAAATTTGTCACTCATTAGCAATCACTTTAAAGTGATTCAGGCAATAATAACACAGAATTGTTGTGACTGTTTCTTCTTCCATACAAGATTATAAACCCCTTATGGAGATCAACCGTGTGAGATGCATTTTTGTATTCGGTTTAGTTATTTAATTCCGTTGTTTGACACCTGTTTGTCGAGAGCCTCCTAAACGCAAGCAGTGTTTTAGAAACTTAGAGGACATAGCTGTGTATAAGATGCATTCCCTGACCTCATGGAGCTTACATTCTAGTGGGGGGAGACAGATAAAAAACAAATGAATAAATACATCTGTAATGTGATACCCAGTACTAATTATAAGTATAAAGAGAAATAAAGCAGATAAGGAGGTAAAGAGCTAATGGAAGGGGTGGCAGAAAGCTTTTGAATGGAGTTGTTAGGAAAAACCTTCCTATAATGATACGTAAACAGAAAGCTAGATGAAGTGAAGGTTGTAGCCTTGGGGGGGGGGGGTGTTTGAAGCAGAGGGAACAGCTGGTACAAAAGTGTCTAGACTGGCAATGAGGTCTGAGAGGTGACCAGAAGCCAGATCATGCAGGACCAAGGTGGGAATTTTGAATTTTATTCCAGTTATGATAGGAAGCCACTGGGTAGGACTTGAGCTAGAGTGACATATCCACCCGGTGCCACAGTAACTATAGTCATACTGATGTTCTTTGAATTGTTGAAAATCTGTATGATAGATATGCAGACCTAGTAATACCCGACTTTTATTGAGTATTTATTGCAGGCATACCTCATTTTATTGCACTTCACTTTATCACACTTCATAGGCACTGCATTTTTATTTTTTCAACAAATTGAAAGTTTGTTGGCAATTCTGTGTAGAGCAAATCTGTTGGTGCCATTTTTTCCACCAGCATTTGCTCACTTCGTGTCTCTGTGTCATATTTTGGTAATTCTCCCAATATTTCAAACTTTTTCATTATTATTATATTAGTTGTCATCGATCTGTGGTCAGTGACCATTGATATTACTACTACCACTCACTGAAGGCTCAGATGATGGTTAGCATTTTTTAGCAATAAACTATTTTTTAATTAAGGTATGTACATTGTTTTTTAAACAATGCTATAGCACACTTAATAGACCACAGTGTAGTATAAACATAAACATAACGTTTAAATGCACTGGAAACCAAAATAGTCATGTGACTCACTTTATAGCGATACTCACTTTATTGCAGTGGTCTGGAACCAGACCTGCAGTGTCTCCGAGATATGCCTGTATATGCCAAGCTCTCTTCTAAGTATATAGATTGTCTCATTTAAACATGCTATGAGGTAGCTACTTATACCAGTTACTCCCATTTTACAGGTGAGTAAACCAAGACTCAGAGTAATTTGCCCAAGGTCCTCAGCAAGAAAGTGGTAAAGTCTAAGGAATCGAACCTAGGCTGTCTTCTATTCTCATGCGTGTTACCAGAGTTTATGCTAGTTATTAACCTATTGGTTAAGGCATAGTTGTAGTAAGCAGTTTTTACTAGGTGTGTAAATGTGCTAAATAAAATGCATGTATTAAAGCCCTTATGCAGGAAACCAAACGCAGTGAAACCTTTAAATCAGGCTTTTTGGTTTTGTTTAAATGATGTTAATTTTAAATACGTTCATTGAATAGTTACATAATACAAGTGAATTTTAAGTCTCCATCCTTGAGATAATAGGAGACATTTAACTTAATTGAGTTTGAATCACTAATAACATTATAATAGTTGAACTTTTTATTAACTCAAACTTTTCTCTTAGCCAGTTCGCAACTTTTATTAGCTTATTAATAACCCTGTAATTTAATAATTCAATGAATGTGAATAATTATTATATTTAGAAAAATACATGAGATCACCCTGATCTGAGCTCTATTTTTTTTTTACATCTTTATTGGAATATATTTGCTTTACAATGGTGTGTTACTTTATGCTTTATAACAAACTGAATCAGCTATACATATACATATATCCCCATATCTCGTCCCTCTTGCATCTTCCTCTCACCCTCCCTATTGCACCCATTAGGTTGTCACAGAGCACCGAGCTCATCTCCCTGTGCTATGTGGCTGCTTCCCACTAGCTATCTGTTTTTACATTTGGTAGAGTATATATGTCCATGCCACTCTCTCACTTCGTCCCAGCTAACCCTTCCCCTTCCCCATGTCCTCAAGTCCACTCTTATGTCTGTGTCTTTCTTTATTCCTGTCCTGCCCCTAAGTTCTTCAGAACCATTTTCTTTCTTTTTTTTTTTTTAGATTCCATATATATGTGTTAGCATATCGCATTTGTTTTTCTCTTTCTGACTTGCTTCATTCTGTATGACAGTCTCTAGGTCCATCCACCTCACTACAAATAACTCCATTTCCTCTTTTTTTTTTTTTTTTTGCGGTATGCGGGCCTCCCACCGCCGTGGCCCGCCCCCACGCAGCTGTGGAGCACAGGCTCCTGACGCGCAGGCCCAGATCCCCCCGGACCAGGGCACGAACCTGTGTCCCCCGCATCGGCAGGCGGACTCCCAACCACTGCGCCACCAGGGAAGCCCCGTTTTTTTTTTAACATCTTAGTTGGAGTATAATTGCTTTACAATGGTGTGTTAATTTCTGCTTTACTTCATTCTGTATGACAGACTTTAGGTCCATCCACCTCACTATAAATAACTCAATTTCGTTTCTTTTTATGGCTGAGTAATATTCCGTTGTATACATGTGCCACATCTTTATCTTTTCATATCTCAATGGACACTTAGGTTGCTTCCATGTCCTGGCTCTTGTAAATAGAGCTGCAGTGAAAATTGTGGTACATGACTCTTTTTGAATTATGGTTATATTAGGTATATGGTTATATTATTATAACCTAACCTATTATAACCTAATTATTATATTAGGTATATGGTTATATTATTATATTGAATTATGGTTATATTAGGGTATATGCCCAGTAGTGGGATTGCTGGATCATGTGGTAGTTTTATTTTTAATTTTTTAAGGAACCTCCATGCTATTCTCCATAGTGGCTATATCATTTCACATTCCTACCAACAGTGCAAGAGGATTCCTTTTTCTCCACACTCTCTCCAGCATTTATTGTTTATAGATTTTTTGATGATGGCCATTCTGACTGGTGTGAGGTGATACCTCATTGTAGCTTTGATTTGCATTTCGCTAATGATTAGTGATGTTGAACATTGTTTCATGTGTTTGTTGACAAT